AGTAACATGAAGTTACTTACTTGTGAAACTATCAATGATTAACCACCGATTCATTATTGATTGTTTCTAGTAGTAATTAATGTCAAGACGTTAACTAATCATCCGTTAGCAACACCCCAACCTTAACATAGAGATAGACCAAGAGAACAATTAGTATTTGATATGCACTCTTTCTTAGTGCATAAAGTATGTTTTTTATTTATTATAGTTTGTTTGTCATTTTATTAGTTTTATTTATTTTAGGATGCAATCTTTTGATTTTAATATTTGTGTGTAATTTGTACTTTTTGTATAAGTTTTGTTGTAAAGGGATGTAAGGGAGTATTTTAGGTGCCAAAAGAAGACAAGGAGAAACTTGAATATAAGTTCTGGTATGCAACCTGATCGGGTTGGAACACAACATGGTCGAGTTGGAAGTGGTATATGAAGTAACCGGGAAGCTACATGCCGAAACCCAGTCGGGTTGGATGTGAGTTCAACACCTTCCCACTCCCTAAGGTACCTGATCGGGTACTAGATCCTGCCACTCAAAAGCCTATATATATACACCCCTCGATCATCCTTCCCATTTAATCATCAATTCACATGTACTCTTAAGCTCAATTTAGATAAATGTTTTCTTTATATTTTCTAGCATGTTTAATCGCCAAATGTGGAGCTAAATCCTTCTATCTTGGTTTTCCTACATTGAAGCTTGAATATTAATTACATTCCTATTTTATATCTCATATTAATATTTGAGCATTACTTAAAGGATCAACTAGTTTTGTTTCATATATTAAGTATTACTAGAATACGATTTTAGTGCCGTCAGTATTTAATGGAAACCAATAAAAATGGGTTTAGCTCCTCATATTAAAAGAAAGATATTTCTTTCCCTATGAATATGGTTCTCACTACGGTATTACTACAAGTATTGATATTATTTTGAGGCACACAACGACTTTAGTGCCGTCAGTATTTAATGGAAACAAATAAAAAGGGGTTTAGCTCCTCATTTGGAGACTAAACATGCTAGAAAATATAAAGAAAACACTACTCTATACCGAGCTTAAGTATATGGAAGAAGAGATGTCAAAATGAGAAGGAAAATAGATGTATTTGAAGGTGTTTGGAGCTAGGGTACTCGATTGGGTACCGTAGGCAGTTGGAAGGTGATGAAATCACATCCAACCCAACCGGCTAAGGCTATCCAGGTTACATATCAAATCGGATTTTCCACGTTCCCTTGATCTTCAGTATGTCTAATTGTCTGGTGTCAACTCAAACCCGACCAGGTTGAGTACAAACCCAACTAGGTTGAGTACAAACCCGACCGGGTTTCGACGGGTAGCTTCCTAGTTGCTTCCTATGTCAATTCCAACCCTACCGAGTTTTGCTCCAACATGATCGGGGTTCGTACGTATCAACACTTATATTCAAGATTCTCCATGTCTTCCTTTTAATTTGGTACCTAAAATACTCCATTACATTCCCTTACGACAAACTTACACAAAAGCACAAATTACACACAAGTACTGAAATAAGAGGATTGCTTCCTAAAATAAATATAACCAGTAAAACGACAAACACACAATAATAAAATAACATACTTATGCACTTAGAAAGAGTGCTTATCAACTTTGTGCATGCATACTCTGGTCTCTATATATGCATATGGAGACATGAAGTCCATACAAAATGTTATGATGATAGGTCATATGAATGTGTGTGTTTGTATTATTTAAAGTATTGGTGGCTTAAAAAAAAATTGATGCGCTAGCACCACGAAATTAAATGATGTGCTGAAAGCACTTATGTAGTTATGTGTGTACAACTGCATGTTTCATAATAATTGTTGACAATTGTTGGTCCCGGTTGTACGAGTAGTAGTCTAGGGGGGGTGAATAGACTGTTTTGGTTTTAAAATCTTTTTGAAAACACCAAGTGTCACAGAGTTGGTCGAGTTCAACAGAACTGACCTGCAGTGGATGGTATTCTGGTCGGGTATCCCAACAGAGATGCTAAGGCAATTTTACCTTTCTGGTTTTCTCTTAGGACAAGATTCGCTGACACAAAGTCCAAGTCTTTAAGAGAGAGAATCAGTTAATTCGTAAGAACAAATATTAAGTGCATTAAACAAAGAATACCAGAATTTTTTTATAGTGGTTCAAGGAACAACTCATTCCTCTAATCCACTCTTCCACTAAGCTTGTAAAGGATCAAAATACAACAATTAGTACTAGCACTCAAGAAGCAATGCACGTCTTCTTCAAGCCTAGTTGTCATCCGGGATGCTCTTCCCAGCTTCCTGATGACTGGCCCTTTTTCACTGAGTATTCTGAAGTATCACCACTTCACTCACGTTACTTCAAGGTGTCCTTCTTAAACAAGAAGATTTCTTTGAGATGAAAAGATTTCTCTCCAACGTTCTTCGTGAAAGATAAGTAGATGTAGCTTTCGAAGTGTTGAAGTACTGGAGGAAGCTTTTGTTGGAGTAAGGATATGAATGAATTTCTATCCAACTTCAAGCTTGATCTCTTGTAAAGAATGTGTAGAAGATGAGTTCTCAAGAGATTAGTTTGTACGTGAGTTATTCGTTGTAGTTGTTCGTACGTTGTATATGTTTCTCTATCCAGTCCTTTGAGTTGTATCTTAATATACTGAAAGGTGTCTTCCCGTTGGAGTGTAGAGGACATCTTCATTAAATGCTTGCACTTTTGATTTGTCTAGTTGGGTCCTGCAAAGTAGCCGACTTACTATCTTGGGAAGTAATACCTCCGTCCCACTAAGATTGGATGAGAGAAGATGGCACGATTATTAAGAAAAATGAGTTTGTGTGGTTGATATTAAATTGATAAAGTAAGAATAAAGTAAGAATGGTTTAGAACCACACAATCTTTACCAAATTTGGTATGAGACAATATTAGTGGGACTTCCCGAAAACGTAAAATGGGACAATCCTAGTGGGACGGAAGGAGTATTAAATTAAATACTCCTGGATTCTCCGGTCAATCATGCGCTTTAAATATCTCAACGTGTGGAAGCCATTAAATGGGCATTTAATGCGTTGAACAATATCACTTCTGTTGAGAGGCTCCTAGCCGGGGTATTTCCCGTTAGTTGAACGACTTTTGTAGAACTTCTAAGTGAGAGCAGTTCTGTTGGAGCAAAAGACATCGTGCATTTCTGTTGAGTCTTTAGCAGTTCTGACCAAATGGCGAGGCAGAAGACCTAGCCAGTTCTGTTCATCGAATACCCTTATTACTTACACAGAAAATTTTATAATACAATTTTTTAAGTGGTACTCTAATATCCTAATTATTCTAGCACCATCAAAATCTAAAACAATATATTCCTTACAACAACTAATTTTACGACTGTAATTGTAACTCGTTTTTGTCAAAATGATATTACCTTGGCACTATAATAAAAGCCTCAATGGTGTGCTTTTTCGGATAAAGAGCAAGCGAACGACTCTTTAACTCAAATGTGTGTGTTTGAATGATTTTCAGAGCATTGTTGGTATTGAAAAAGTACTCCGTAATTAACAATGCGTTGGCACCACTAAATGGTGGGCGGGCACTCATGACTTCATAGAATGTTTTTATGTGGATTGATTTAATTAAATCCCAGATCAGATCAGAATAAACCAAACCGGACTGAAATAGACCAAACTAGATCAGACTTCAATAGTTATAAAATATAAGGTTATGCCATGATAGGTTAATCAAAACTCTTAATTTACATAGAGGCAGATCATGATTACAAATGGTACATACACAATGTTTTTTAATTTGAAGAATCTGCCTTCATTAACATGAACATATATGTTAATTATTTTTCAATGTATTCACATTTATTTTGACCATTTCAAAAAGTAGTGTAGTCATTATTAGTATATCGTGTGCGCGAATCCTTGAAAATCACTAACCACTAATTTAATTTCCTTAAATATTATTAACGATATTCAAAGAAAGTTCTCTATAAAAAGAAAAGAAGTGAATTGGATCTTCAAGTTGGGGAATTATGTAATTGAATATATTATTTTACTAAATATAATTTGTTCTAGTTTTGAACAAGTCCATATGCAATTATAGTATTTGGTGGCAATGCATACCTCATTTATTCTTTTAAAGCACTTGACAATACATTGAATAATTTTAAATGCTTCTCAAAAATATTCTAGCCTTTTCAAATTCAAAATATAATTAAGGATTTATCCGAGGATTTTTTTACTAAAATATTACTTTAATACAATTTTTACTGTAAGTGTAATTTCATGACCATTATAATCTTTTCTCCTGTGATTTGTCTTGTTAATCTTAGTAAACTAAAACTAGACTAAGAAGATATAGTCTGGCCTGTTATGATTTTTGCTTATAAGATCTAATATTATTGCCTGATATGTTATCTATTAGTCATACAACTATTATAATATAGTTGTATATGTTATATATACAAGGAGAAATGTAATGAGTCACAATGTTTTGGAAGAAATAAAAATCACATGTTTTTTGTGACTCCAAAAAGAATTTATATTTATATTTATATTTATATTTATATTTATATTTATATTTATATTTATATTTATATTTATATTTATATTTATATTTATATTTATATTTATATTTATATTTATATTTATATTTATATTTATATTTATATTTATATTTATATTTATATTTATATTTATATTTATATTTATATTTATATTTATATTTATATTTATATTTATATTTATATTTATATTTATATTTATATTTATATTTATATTTATATTTATATTTATATTTATATTTATATTTAAACCTCCAAGTTTTGTCCATATCCATCCGTGTGATTCATCATATATCTATCTTCAACCGAAAGCGGTGCGGTTATGCAATCGTTTGCGTCAGCCTCTTGCTAGCAAGCTTCAACGCCAAGCTTGTGAAACAAAGCAATTTTGAAATGATCTTTTCCTCCAAATTTAGGAAAGAAACAAATAATGACCGTAACGCCCAACACTATGTTGATGCCATCATCTATGTGTCTACTTCACCAACTTCATCTACAAAACCCAATACTCCCATTCCCATCTTTCCACCGAACAGATCCAAATTATTTCTTTGCTTTATTTGTCTCATAAGAAATGTCTGCTCCCATTAGAGAAACTGAAGTTTCCCCAATTTCTTCAGTCTCTAACCGTCAGCTTTGCACCCAGAGGACTCGATCCAATGAGATTATAGATTTGCAAGATCTCGAAGCTGGTGCAACGGTCTGCTGCAGAATCTGTTTAGAAAATGAAGGTAAAGGTTGTTATTTAAATGGGGGAAAACTAAAATTAATCACTATATTCTAAAAAGTTTTGGTAAATGTTGTTTGAATTTTGTTACTTGGTTGCATTGATTGTTAATTTTCGATTTTGAAAGGAAACTTCACATGTATTGTAGAAGATTTATTTCTTTTCTTTACATATATGGTTTATGATCTATTTAAGGTTTGAAACATTTTGAATTGGTCTAGCGGGAGTTAACTTAATGAAATATTTGCATTTATTGCCACTTGCCAACGCTGTATAAGTTCGTTGTTGTTGATTTATCCTTCTAATTGCACCCCCATCACCTATTTACTTTTTTTTTACTAATCTTTATGTTCTAATAGCTGTTTTCTTTTGTGGAGGCGGAGAATTGATATCTCCTTGCTTATGCAAGGGATCACAACAGTTTGTGCATCGTCATTGTCTTGACCATTGGCGCTCTGTAAAAGTGAGCCACATCTATTACTTTAGTAATGCGATTCTATGGAAATGATTTGCTATACATGAAGAGAACGTTCTAATACTTTCGATGTATTTGTTTTTGTGTAGGAAGGGTTTGCCTTTTCACATTGCACAACATGTAAGGCACAGTTCGAGTTTTTAGTGGTAGATTTAAGTGATGATATAATAACAAGGATAAAGCACAAACTATTCGTCATCAATGATGTTTTCCGCCACTTTTTAATTATACAATTTGTAAGTACACTATTTTTGTTTTATCTAATTTAGATTTTGTGCTTTTCCTTCCAGAAGTGTACCCAAAATAGAGTAATCCATGAAAAGTTTCAAGGCCTAGTAATTGCATTAGGTTAGTTAAGAAAGATTTTCTTGTCTCAAGTTTTCATTTTTTTTCTCAGGTAATTATATCTCTCGGTTTCTATCTATACATCATGGATAGTGGCAGAAAATTTCACGGGACACTAAATGGCCGTATTAATGTGTTCTCAGACAATCCTTTATCGTTTTATTACAGTTTGGGTAATAACTTTTTATCAATGTTTTGTTTCATTGTTCAAAAATAAGCTGCTTTAATGATATATTATGTTCGAACAGGAGCTCTTGGCCTCCTTTTTATATATGGATGTTTCTTGGTCATACCAAGGTGCCTCTCCCTCGGTGGCTCTAACCGGCGCATAGCCACCTGCCAGAACTGTTGTTTGATTTTTTACTTGTTGGAATGCTTTCCTGCTCCAATTATGATTTTATGTTTTGCAATAGTTTGTGTCCTCTTTGGCATTGCATATGGTCTATTTGCTGTGAGCCTTGCTATACAAAGGAGCTGGCATAGACACTACAAACTCCTCACCAAGAGAAACCTTACAAAGGTCACAACTCTAACTTTATTAACCTGACATTAGTTATTTTTTCTTCAATGATCGTGGTTTACTTTATAACTAAGATTAAAGTGACGATAAAAATGCGACATTTACTACTTAGTGAACATAGTTTTATCGTCACAGTGATTATACGATGAAGGATATTTTATTTTAAATATGGATTCAACATGAGGATATTTTCAATACTTAATCATTATTTTTTCTGTGACTTTGTTTTTGATAAATTACAGGAGTAACATTTATAATATTATCTGTTTTGACTAATGCCTATCAGTTTTGACTAATGCCTCTCCTAAATGTCATAGGTGTATGTTGTGGTTGATCAGCATGGCCGCTATACTCCGCCAGAGTTGGATCATTTACATCTAGAACGTCTTAGAGAACTCGGTCTTTTGTAGAGAAAAAAAGGCTTCAATGCTAAAGCTTAAAAATCTTGTATTTTTGTTAAAAAGTGAAAGGTACATCCTTTTAGGGTTTTAAGCATCATGATGTGCATTGGAGCCTTTCTCTATATCCTTTATCACACACTTTTGTAAGGAAAAAATGACACAATTTTGATAGAAAACATTGTAAGGCATGTACATTTGTAGACTATTTTTATTTTTATAAAAATGAAAAGTTTTTGTGTGTGTTTGGCAAAGGTCTATAGAAACTACGGAGTACTAAAACCATTTTCCTTTCTCCCTATTCTCGTTATAGCTTTTTTGTACCACTGCTGCTGTTCTGTGATGTTTTGGTAAATAATATGTTCTTTTAGATATCTCCATTTCAATGATTTTCACCCCATTCTACTGTACTCTGTATATGTATAACAATGCACCTTATGACAAATGATTATGCAATATGATAAGTCCATATTTTGACATGCATTTGATGCGCGTTGGGATTGGGTTTTATTAGTTTTCCTAACTTAAATGTGTCACAAAGAACCTAATTAGATCAAGTCATTGTTTATCGAGTTTTGGTTTGCATTTGGTGTTTTTAGAATTAAAATTAGGAAGTTGAGCCCAACATTAGCATCGGAGATTTATTCAGGAGGACTCAAGACACATTTCAGAGTTACTGAGAAGGATTGAAGGTCCACGAGAAATTAAAGAAGTGTTTTTGAAGTCAAGGGAGCTCAAGGATCAAGTACGAGATCAAATGGGGACAAATAGAGCTTGAAAACAGCAATCAAGATGACCTTCTGTCAATTGTTTGAACATATCTTTTCATAAAAATCTTCAAAAGACACAATTCAAGTTTCATATGAAAGATAACTCAATGGGATACAAGTCTTATTAAGACACCATGATGAGAATGTGAGAGGATAGATCAAGGAGAAACGAGATGACAAAGTAAGACAATTCCTGTTGAGATTTCAGGATGCGGCCTTCCACTATTTTATTCATATCTATTAATTGAATGATTCAATCTCAGTTTTGCAAGTTGTGATGGATAGAGAACTTCATTAGCTACAACTTCGGTGAAGGAAGCATGGTGAAATCCGGACGCGAAATGCGCACGTCGTGCACACGAAGCACACATGCCGCGTGCTGAAGAAGAAATCACGGAGAGGCTACCGTAGACCGCGCACACCGTGTGCACGAGATAATCACGCTGTGCACGGCAGTTTTTCAGCGTTTTTACTCTGGACGCACGGACGTCACGCACGCCATGCTTAGGCGCCGTGCGTGCGTTTCAGGGGTCCTTTTTCGGCTAGAATTCAACTGTTTTCTATTTTAACAGCCTTTGACAAAATTTTGAGAGGTTTTCAACCTCGGATGTTTTATATTGTGGGATTATTTGTAAGTTCTATTTTTTAATTAATGACAATTAATTCTTTCCTATTCAATTCTGTTGATTCTTCAATTATGAATTGTGAGTATATTTAGTTGGAAATTTGGGAATGATGAAGGAGATATTAATCATGATCTAGGGTTCCGTTCTTGAGAGTTTAAATGCATGATTTTTATTTAATTTGTGTTTGAATAATTTAATTGATATCTTTCGTAACGTGGAACAGCCGCTAGGATTATGATTGCACATAGATTAATTTAAGAGAAATCTGAATTATTCTAGGACACTTTCACACACACACCTAATCATTTGCTAAGGGATTAGTAACGATTAGGGAGCCGTACGCTCGTTCATTTTGGCAATAATTTAGGAACTTGTCGCATGAAAGATCATCATGATTCTCTAAACTATTGTACTCTACGCCGCGAGAGCGGTAAAAACTTAGTATTGACCTGCGTTGCTCAATTAAATAACTTTTATGTGTTTAAGCCAAATCAACTCCGAAATTTGGTTGACCCCAGAATCAATCCTTGTTCCCTTCCGTCATTAATCAGAAAGAGCCTTTAATTTAGCTTTATTTTCGCATTAATTAATTTTCTAAAAATCAAATCTTGCACGTTCTCTTTTATTTTATTTATTTTATCTGCTGAGTTTATTTAATAGTTAATTCCATTTTTCGTCCCTGTGGAGACAATACTCGTAATTGTACCCTGTTGAAGACATTTTTATTGTGATCAAGTTGTTATAATTAGTCTTGTTTTATTTTACCATTTATGGTATTTATTTGTAACAAATAGAATAACCTTTTAAGAATGAGGGTCATTTAAGTGTAGGGCCCAAATCCCTAGGTTAAGCCTTTTAGTGCAAGCTGTACACCCTACACATATAAATATTCGCTTAGGATGTATATCACCTAACTTTTCGCATATACTACACTAGCCGCACAACGGCATTTTCGATATTAGAACTTTGAGAGATTTCATATGTTTGAATATTTCAATATCATTCTAATGGAATTTCTTTCAGTGTCTAGTTCATCTTAGTGCACCCATATCTGTGAGATTAGCTGCAAAACAGGGTCTAACAACTGGTATCAGATCCAACGAGTGAAGATCGATTGAAGAAACGCGTTGTTTCTTGTTTTTCGACATTTTCAAAATTTTGATTGGTTTGTCTTGTTTTTGCTCGAAAAACTAAGATAAAGATACAGCTGAAATCGGCTGATCAAAACGAACGTTTGTTGCATTTTCATTTTTAGCTTCATCAGATTTGAAGATTTCTCGATATACTCTATTTTTCGAAGTACATGAGTTTTTCAAAGTTTAATAGTGTTTTTTTGAACAAAAGACTTTGCATGATATTTCCAAAGAACAGGTTTTCGCACAACAGAAGAATTTCGAATCTCAAAACAACATAAATTTTCGAAGGACAGATTTTAGAACTCTCAGTTTTCGAACCTTCAGTTTTTGAACATAGTTTTCGAATCAAAATTTTGAATTTCTATTTTTCGAGGTTTGATTTTCGAATTCTGTTTTTTGAACTTCAGGTTTTCGAAATTGTTTTTCGAACTTTGATTTTTCGAATTCCACCTCTCAAATTTTAGTTTTTCGAACTTTCTCCTTTGAACTCTTTTTTCGAACTTAAGTTTTCGAAATGTGCTTTTTCGAATCCTGTTTCATTTTATTTGATCAACCACTCGGCGATCAGTTTAAACAGCAAAATGGATGCACTATCTCTCGGGAACGTAAACAGACCACTAATTCTCAGGAGAGGAGAATATCTGATGTGGCGATACAGATTCCTCAATTTTCTGGAAAGCAAGGCGAACTCCTCTGCTATGCTTCAACCTCTGAACGAAGGACCCGTTGAGCTTTGGATGATAGTCAGAGGAAATGATGAGAACAACCCTCCGGTTGAACCAGAGAGAAGACCGATATCCCTAGAAGAATATGATGATGCACACAGTAGGCATGACAATGGGTCAGGGCGAGGCGGATACTGCAAGACCCAGACCCACCCCATGACTTCACTGGGTGGACCCACCTCGCCCCATGACCCGCACGGGTCCAAACTTGTTGACGACCCATGCCCCGCCTGTAACACCGCCCCTGAGTATTTGTACTGTACCAAATTATGTATTGAACCTTGAGAAATGTATAAAAGCATTTTTACGTGATTGAAAACTTTTATCATTTCTATTACGTGAATAGTAAAATTCACGTGGGGCCCACACCGGATGTGGGGCCGCCCGATATTATCGGGACCACATATTATATTAATCATGGACTAGATAATATGTATATGGTGGTGGATATCCTAATTGGGCCATGACAATGGCATAGAGTTGACCGGTTGGTCAAACGGGGCCAAATTATCGGTATCGACAATTTATCAGATAACAGCCCAAAAAGGGATTCCGGAGACTTCTAAATTAAAGTTGGGGAACACATATTGATTCTAAGGCCCAATAAAGATTGGGAACAAGTGTTATATTTTATTTGACCCGATAAAATAAAATATACTTAAAACAGTCCGGAAAATACAATTTTCGGGGCCGATTGTACACCCCGGGACACAAAGGGTTGACCTCCCACATAAGTGGGGGCCAACCCACGTTTTTGGTCTGCTAATGAATAAGGGGAGCCGCACATTAACATGAGGAAAGAGGGGAGAAAGGACTGGGAGACCAAATGTGATAGGAGAAGGGTCCCTCCCCCCACATTATTGGTGAATAAGCCAAGAGGAGTATCTCTATCACTCCTAAACCCATAAGCTCGGCCAACCTACCTAAGGAAGAGAGATAAGGTCTGGAAATACTCCATTTTCATCCACCATCTACGCAATTGAGCTAAGGAGGAAGAAGGAGGGGAAAAGAGAAGAGGAAAAGTTGGTTTTGGTGAGGAAAACTTGTGTTTAGCAAGGTAAGGACTCCATTAACCCCATTTCGTTTTCTTTAATCATCTTATACGATTATTCAATCATATTTCACACCCTAGGATTTTTCTACACGTTTGGAAGTGTAGAATGAGGGGTTGGAAGGTAGTTCTAAGCCCAAGGATGGACTTAGAAGCCAAAGTGACCGGTTCGCCGGAAAATAACCTTTTGGAGGTTATTTGTATTACTATGGGTGTTATGATGATAAAACCTTGTTAGTAACTTTTCTAAGGTATTCAAGGAACTTTCACGGAGTTGAAAGAGTCGCCGGAGTTGTCGCCGGAGTTCGTTGAAGTTCGCCGGAGTTTCGCCGGAGCTAAATCGGGAAGGCTAGAACTTCATAAGCTTCATTAAGGTGAGAAGACGGCTTTATGCTTTATAACTTTTGTGTGAGGCATGAGATTACCTAAAGTAATCAAGAATATGTTTTGTGGAATGATTAAAGATAACCAAGTGTTTGCTTATGCCATGATTATACATAAAACATAGTTGAAAAGCATGTTATGTAGATTTGGTGATCAAAAAATGTGATAACTTATTATGTGTGATGTTCCAGGGATCCAAAATGGTATTTTTGGATCAAGGACGTCAAGAAGTATAAGCGTATAAAATTTCACGTTAATCGGACTTCGTTTGGGTGGTCAAACGAGCGTTGACCGCCAAGACGAAGGGAATACCCGACCGGGTATGGGTAAATACCCGACCGGGTTTTGATTAAAAATGGATCCAGAAGCCACTGCCACACTAGACCTGACCGGGTATGGGTATAGTCCCGACCGGGTCTCATGTAAAGTTGGCTCCAGGGGCTACTGCATCACCCCACCCGACCGGGTAAGGTAGGATACCCGACCGGGTATTGGGTTAAGCTCAGAATGGGCAGTTTTGAGTAGGTTAACGTGGGCCGTTCGGGTGGGACCCGCCCACGTTGGATCCTAAGGATTGTTATATGACTATAGGGCTAGGCATTGTCCATAGTTAAAGGAATGAAAGGTTAGCCATATCCAGGTTAGGATTTGGTAGAGAATAGACTGGGGATTGAGTGCCCTTGGACGGTAAATGATCCAGAATACTCCAGGTGGGGTCGAGTACCCTTGGACGGTAAATGATCCAGAATACTCCAGGTGGGGTCGAGTACCCTTGGACGGTAAATGATCCAGAATACTCCAGGTGGGGTCGAGTACCCTTGGACGGTAAATGATCCAGAATACTCCAGGTGGGGTCGAGTACCCTTGGACGGTAAATGATCCAGAATACTCCAGGTGGGGCCGAGTACCCTTGGACGGTAAATGATCTTAAATACTCCAGGATGGGTGAGTGCCTTGGATGGTAAATGATCCTAAAACACTTGGTAGTATGAATCGAAGGTAGACTATAGCTTGTGAGCTAGGTAACCGGGAAAGGAGTGAGAAAAGTCAGGTAAGAACTTTATCTCTAAAAGACTCTTTGAGGTAAATGACCTACGTGTTGAGTATTTTACGAGTATATATACAGTATGTATCATCGGGTGGATGAGAGACATCTATATATATGTATCACCCTATTTTTGGGTCTCGTGTCTGAAACATTAGTTATTCTTCATATAGCCTGCTTGTCACTAGTACTTCTATGGAGTACTGACCCCTCCGGGGGACCTCACATTTTTCAGGTTGAGGCTAGAGTCCTACTACCTGCACCTTTGCCTAGGGTGATCCTTCGAGGAGGAAGACGTGGTTCGTGCTTCCATTCATATTTTTTTGAAATCTATAAACTGCTCATGGATTTTTGAACAATGTTTTCATTAAAACAGTTGGGGGCCTGCGTGCCCGTGTTTGCCACGTGTGGCTAAGTATCAAACATATTATTATTTCCGCATTTGTTTGATTATGATATTGATGTTGATTGTATGTGTTTACTAATCGGTTTGGCAATAGAATCAATCGGACGCCTTGTACAATTCAATAGGGATGAAGTGTTGTTGTCCTGATCGGGTTGTACGGCGGTTGTCTACGTGGCTCGGATGCGGTCTGGGGCGTGACACCGCCCATGCATGGTGGGCCCGCCCTGCCGTAATCTAATTAGCTAGTATGCATATCAATTTGTGTGAAGTTGTTATCACTTGAATCTACATAATTATTAAAAAGA